ACATTTTCCAACATTCAATGTACAAATTAAGTTTGTACTATATATATTTTTTGTACTAATATGTATAGGTACAAATTGAATTTGCACCATAATGTTAAAGATACACGTTCAATTTGTACTAAAAAAATGGAAGGAATATAACATTCATCTTATATATATGTCATACTACTATACTCCTTAAGTATACGAGTTTTTCCAGGTACATTTAATGAGATATCTCTATTTACAATGAATTAAATCAATTTTGTGGTATGATACTATATCCTAATATCTAATGGATAAACTCTAGTCGCCAATTCTCTAAACACAAACCCAAAGTTCAATTTAATATACAACATAATAGATCGTTCTTATTGTTCGGAATTCATCGAAGTACATCTAAAGGTCAAATCACTTGGAGTATACCAGTATTGACCTAAGTTTTGAACATTGTATTATACTCTAAATCTTAAAGATTAAAATCTAGGCCTTATTTCTATAAATCTTATACACTAAGATGAATTTAATTAGAGAAAATAATTGACGTCATGATTCATCAAAATACATCTAATAATTGATATGCACCATCTTAGTGTTTAGGATCTATGATTTAGAAAATTAAGATAGAGGGTTCACTCATGAAGAGTTAGGTTATAGTATCATGCCCCAATTTCCAGTTAATTTGAGGTATAGATAATGTTTCTTAGCAAGAATATGCAATACTACAACTGTTACCCGAGGTATAGGTAAATGTTTCTTAGTGAGATATCTCTATCTACCATGAATTAAATGTTCCGTTCCCCCTACCTCCTTTCCTCCCCTTCATCCCTTTGTACCTTTGTTTCTTTGTCTTTTTGGTTTTTGTTTTTTATTTAATTTTATATCACCATTATAAAAAAAATTCAATATTAAAGATTAACATCCTTAAAAAGTATATATTGTTTACAGTTATTCAAATTTGAAACAACATAGTAGTTCGAGACAAAACAACAACATATGAACATCTAACACTTCTTCCTTTTGGGGAACTTGTCAATTGTCATTTTAGTCTTTTCTCCATAAGATCAACTTGCTTGTACAAAATTTGTGGATGAATTATCGTCGTCACCTTCACTAGTGATTGTACTTCCACTTTCAATTTTTTTTGAATAAGTCATATCTATTCACCTAAACAAAAGCAATATGATTAACAAGCTGGAGTCACTACAAAAAACCGACTTTTAGAGACGAAAATTTCGCAAATCCCTTGAATACTCCTTGTGCTTCAAATATTCAACTATCCTCAGTTTAGGCACCACAATCAGAGGGTGATAAGGAGTACATTTCGAGAGTCTCATATGCTAGTGCAATAGCTAGTTTGATATACGCTACGGTATGCACTAGACCTAATCTTGCACATGCTGTTAGTGTTCTCAGCATATTCATGTTGCAACCCGGGAAGAAACATTGGAAGGTGGTAAAGAGGATATTTTGGTACCTTAAGGGTATTGTCTAATGTGGGAATTAGCTTCGGAATTGATATAGAGTGCTTAGTGACTAGTTATTCTTATTCTGATTATGTTGGAGATGTTGATAGAGGAGATCTATGACCGGTAATGTATTCACTCTTGGGAGTTGTGTGGTAAGCTGGAAAGGAACCTTGCAGTCCACAGTGACAATGTCTACTACTAAAGTAGAGTACATGCTTTTGACAGAAGCTGCAAAGGAGGAATACGGTTGAAAGGGCTGATTGGTGATGTGGCTCTACATCATGATCATGCAATGGTGTATTGTGATAGTTTGAGTGCAATATGCTTGGCTAAGGACTAAGCACACTAATGTGATATATTAGTTCTTGAGAATGTAGAAAAGGATTAAGGTGAAGAAGATTGGCACCGCAGACAATTATCCTGACATGTTCACGAAGTCGATTCCATATGGCAAGTTCTAGCATTGCTTGGACTTGTTGAATGTCCTAAATGGGTGAAGCCTCCCTAAGTGGCATTGATGCCAGGGAGAGAGAGAGAGAGAGAGAGAGAGAGAGAGAGAGAGAGAGAGAGAGAGAGAGAGAGAGAGAGAGAGAGAGAGAGAGAGAGAAAGATCAGAGTATATCATATATTCTTGAAGGGAGGATTCAATTCAAATGGTGATTTGTTGATATGACTTGATTCAGACTATCTGCCGACAGCTCAAAGTCATGGGAGTCACGTTGTGTGGGTTTATCCACGTTTGGATTTCTGTTCTGCGCCTAGTTTGTAACCTTATCTTTACCATATTGGATTAGGGTTAGACCACATGGAGAAGTACTATAAATAATTCTCATACCCCACTATAATCTGTATCTACTCAAATTATAGTGAAACTGACTCTCTCTTGCCCGTGGACTAACTAACAAACATCGTGTTAGTGAACCACGTAAGTTCATGTGTCTTGTTTCATTTCTTGCTTTCATTTTCTGGCTTTATCGAGCCTTCGATTTCCTGATCCTTAGAAACAGTCGTGACACTAAGCCATGTTTATGTTAACAAAAAAGGCCATAGAATTAAAGTAAAGCACTTTAACCATTAAGAATGTAACATCCTTACCCTCGTATAAATGCTTACGACGTAATGATGTTATTTGTGATCGAATAACATTATCATTCCCAAATCAAGAATTGGGTGATTATGGTGGTATCCGAGATTAAATGAATTAATTGTAGGGGTTAATGGATTAGTAGTGTTGGTGAGTATAGATGATGGGCTTAATTGTAAGAAATGGAAATTTTGAGGTGTGTATGGTAATAAGGTGCCACATGGATGGATTGAATTGGAGGGAGAGTCGTTTGGAAAGGGTTCTAGAGGCTTGAGGGTGCAAAAATCTGCAGCCTCTCATTCATTCTCATTCATTCTTATCCTTGCTCTTCTTCTTTCCTTTCCCAAACGTTACCACCATTTTCACCATCACTGTCACCTTCTCATCTAATTTTCTGGAGAATCAAGGTGGCAAAGTCAAGTATTGGAGACTAGGGAATAAGGAAGAATCATTAAAAAGGGGAGAGAAGAAGGGAAGAGAGGTGCAGCAGGGCAACGTGTTTCAGAGACCATTCCGGAAACATTAGTCGTTGGATCGTCCTGACCATTGGGCTCGTCGTTGTGATCACTAGTTTTCTGGGAAACGCGGACGGACAAGAAGTGGAAAAACCTATTTCTAGGGGTAACAAAGGTAGAGCACTTTCCTTCTTCCCCTTGAACCAGTTGGAAAAGAAGGTTAGCGGAGAGATGAAATTATATGCGTGTATTTTGTCATGTTTAGTCATGTTATTATGATAAATATACATATTTACGAGTTAAGAATGAATTGAATCAAAGGTAGGGCAGTGGTGAAAGAGGAAGTAGAAAATAGTTTTGAACCTTCAACTTGAATTGAGTTCCGAGATAAAACGGGCCTCAAATATGGATATGATGTAGACCTATGAAACTAGTTTCAGTAACAACAAGAATCAATCGATTTGATTAAGAATTGAAAAAAATATGATCAAAATGGTAAATTCAGGTAAGGAACTCGGCTAGGAAATGTGACCGTTTTGGACCCAGTTAGCCGAGTTTTCACTGACGAGTGCGGAGGATGAAACTCGGACAAGGCCAGAGAGCAACTCGGCCAAGGCCAGAGAGCAACTCGGCCTTGTTTTGGCAGGGGAGCAGACCGAGTTTATCCAAAATATCGAGGAAAGTGATTTTTGAACCTAATTTTCATTAGTTAACGATTCTATATGGAAGTATATAACTCTGATCTAGAAGATTTAATACATGCTTATGATATATTAAAGGTAAGGAGCAAGTCAGAGAGTCATCTAGAGACAAGGAAAGCACGGAATGACTCTAAAAAGTGTGAGTAGATTCTAACCCTAAATTTATACAAATGCAAATGAGGTATTTGGGTCATGAAGCGACCCAAGTACATATCCAAAATGTAAAGGTATTCGGGTCATGAAGCGGCCCGAGTAATAAGCATGAATATCAAATGGATGCGTATTGAATGGTTATGATATGATAACTGTGTTATGAATGTGATGATGATTATGTGATGAACTATATGATGATTGTATGATAATTGTGAATGATCACGTGTTTACGTTAAAGTGTGATATTGATGTGGTAAAATTGTAAACCTAAGGGCTTAAGGAAAATACCTTGGTAAAGAAATGACGCATATGTAAGGGTATTGATATGATAAAATGATATGTGATGAGTGATGAGTAAATGTGATTTGTGTATGACTAAGTTATAATATGTATGAAATGTGATAAATGATGTCTGTGAATGAGAAATATAGTGTATGTGATATGAATGTCCTAAAAGGCAATGTTACCGTACTGGAAGCCTATGTGGTGATGAGGAGATACTATATAGCCTGAATGGCTATATGATGATACTGGAAGAGCCTAATTGATGATACTGTGATAGTGAAAAGCCTGTAAGGCAAAGATGTTATACTAGGAAGCCTATAAGACGATGATATGTTTATATGAAATGGTGAGTGTGATTATGTGAATGCTATGATTATGTGAATATATGTATTGAATGATTGATGACACTGCTTGATACTTGTGATGTGACTAACTAAAGAATTGTCTGACCAGCTAAATTAATTAACTTAAGGATGCTCGTTGTGTACTCTATGATATGAGGGTCCAACCGGGCCGACACTTGATACTATAAGCTGCAAAGTGATATAGGGTTTGACCTGCCCGACACATGGTGCCAAAAGCTACGAAATTATATAGGGTATGACTGTCCTGGCACATGGTGCCAAAAGCATCGAAATGATATAGGCCCCGACACTTGATGCCAAAAGCTGCAAAGTGATATAGGGTCCGACCGGCCCAACACTTGACGCCAAAAGCTCCGAGATACACGGGGAAGTACACGACATGACAATATAATGAAAATGCATATAATGAACTTAACAAACTGTGTGTATGTGTGTGTGTGTGTGTGTGTGTGTGTGTGTGTGTGTGTGTGTGTGTGTATGTGTGCATGATTGATCATGGGGATGTGAATGATATGTTGAACTGTTTACTGGCACAATTGAAAATAAGTGAGATGATGATCCTTAGCATTATGGTTCATGTGATATAGATTTCGATGAGTATACATTGAGGAGTAAATGGTGTCTTAGTACCAGAATGTCATTGCATGTCATTAGAGGTGTGCAAAGTAGCGGTATCCTATGACAGATACTGAATAGTGCCATCAGGTGCCTTAGCACATTGATATGTGAAAAGTGAAGTGATCGCTACTGAATGCCAAAGAGATAGTTCTTCCATTGATGTCCAAAATTATACGTTGATACTGGATTGTTATAAATGAAATGATAACCATCAGAAGTGAGCAGTAAATGACGTGTAATTAATGGGTGCCATACTAAATATCACTTGTGTATTTTTGTTCATTTAGGTTTAGAATTTACTCATTGAGTGACGACTCACCCTTCGTCAAATATTTTTCCCAAGATCTAGAGCTGCTGCAGGAAGTGATAGAAGTAGAAGTTGTGGCTTCAAGCTTCAAGTTTTGATTTGTGAGGTGGGCGGAAGATTGAACATGTTTTCACAAGAAATTTAGTGTCAAACTAGTTTCCTTTTTGTACTTGAATTGTAAAGTTTTTAATCGGGCCCGATAATCGTTTTATGAGTGTTATGTATTTTATGTTAAATCGAGTGTTCATATAAGGTGTTACAAAGAAAAAGCATCAACAAGTTGCAAAGGAAGTAATGTCCAATTGTGGCCTTCAAGGTTTAAGAAAGCACTAGGCGTAATGTGAGCGTTAAGGCTTTGTCTTGCGCCTAGCATGCTTAGGCATCTCCAATAGGCATGACTAAGCCTTAGATGTAAACGTAGCAAAATATCTCACAATTTCCTAGAATCACAAGTTTTGAACCATTATCATCATATCTACCTCTTCTTTCTAAACTTTCATCAACGACTAATGGTAAAACATAAAAATATTGTGGAGAACAAGTAAGGAAGAAGAATCTTGAAAATAGCGAAAGAGACTGAGAGCGAAGAAGCACAAGAAAAATATGCTACTCTAAACATTGTCGTCTTTACCTATATCTTAGCCTAACTATAGAGAAATCAAGACAATCCTCACTAGTAGCATATTAAAAGGTTAAAAAGACATCATGACATCATTTTGAGGCACAACTCAATGCTTACACACTGCTTCCAAGACTAGAACGTGATCGTGACGCCTTCTCCACTACTTTTCGCCAAGACGAGACATTTTCCATTTTTCTTGTTCCTATACGAGTTTAGACGAGTTCTAGGCATGCTTTTTAGAACTATGTTCACCTCATATGACGGTGAAAGCATTGTTACAATCTCGAGGTTTACACAAGGCTTCCAATGGCTCAGCTTTTGGCATAGTTAGCCCTTGCCCTTCTAACATATCCAATAATGCTTCATTGGTCCTCTTCCAGTCAAAGCATTGAATCAAAGCACCCAAAGCCATTCCCACCACCCGATTTGCAAGTCCGGTGCCCGGGCAAGACCTTCTTCCCATACCAAATGGAATGAATATATAAGGCTCCACCTCTGCTCCATATCTCTCTGGCCAAAATCTTGTAGGGTCTTCCCATATCGCGGGGTCTCTATGAATAGCCCATGCATTGACGATTAACATCGTCCCTTTATTGACAGAATAACCTCCTACTATGCAATCCTCCGAGGATTGGTGTGGCACTAAAGTTGGTGCTGGTGGATATAGACGAAGCGTCTCATTAATGATCCCTTGGAGGTACGACAACTTAGAATAATCAGATTCATCTACAAGTCGATTGTTGCCGACTATATTGTCTATCTCAGCTCTTGCCTTATTCAGTATTTTTGGGTGGTTTAGTAATAGTGACATCGCCCATTCTATTGTAGCCGCTGAGCTGTCTGTGCCTGTCAGTACCATTGTCTACAAAGACAAATAGACAATGATTAGATTTCTAAATAATTTCTTTTTTCTTAAACTTAAGTGGGGGAAAAAATGTTAATGAAATTTTAAAGTTAGACTTACCATCACGTGGCCTTTGATGATTTCATCGGAGTACGTTTCAGGCTCAGACTCTTGCAAACTCAAAAGAGTATCGATCATCGTCTTCCTCTCCGTATCATCCCTCTCCCCACCATCATTCCGACGCTCATCAATCAGACCTTGAAAAAAGCCATCGATCTTCCCCTTAGCTTCCCACATCCTCTTCTCCAGCCCACTGAAATCCACCCACCTCATCGCCGGCAAGAAGTCCACCGGATTCGACGTGGCGCTCAGCTCAAACACTTCCCTTATCAACTCCTTGAACCTCTCCCCTTCTTCACCACGTCCTTCTCCCGCTTCCGTCCCAAAATATCTCTTCCCCGCCACCATTCTCATCATAACGTTCATCGACAGATCCACCAGCCTCGACCGCATCGCCACGTGCCCAAAACCCGACCGGCCTGAAACCTCGCTCACCAGTCCGTTGACCAGGCGCTTGACCTCGTCGCGGCGGACCGGGAGGAAGGAGTTGAGGCGGGCGGCGGAGAGGAGCTCGACGGTGGAGATGCGGCGGAGGTTGCGCCAGTGTGGGCCGTAAGGCGACGCGCCCATGGTCTTGTAGTTGTAGCCGATGATCTTCCATCCCAAGAAGTTGTTGGGCCGGTTGGCGAAGACGACGTCGTTTTTGTTGAGGCATTCCTCGGCTAAGGATGGAGATGAAACGACGATCGTGTTTCGGACTCCCAACTTGAGGGAGTAAATGGGGCCGTACTTGTTTGAGAGGTTTTGTAAAGCTCGGTGGACGGGTTGTTTGAGGAGAAGGAGGTGGCCGATGATTGGAAGCGCCGGTGGGGATGGTGGGAGGTTTGTGCGACGTCGTTTCGCTTCGGATGATTTCGTTAAGAGGTTGGAAATTACGAGGACTAAGAAGATTGTGGGGAGGAAGTAGAGAGCTTGAGCTATAGTTATCTCCATCTGACTTGTGACTTGTGAGCTATGAGGAATATGCGGTGTAGCTTCTTTATACTGGATTTGTGCCGTCAATTGATGCCAAACAACGAATAAGGCGACGTAATTGACGATTGTGTCAAAACTGGGGGACAAAAACTGAATCGTCCTCATATGGTTGTCAAATATTGATGGTGCACTGCCGTCCTTGAATTTTCACAGTTAAGTCCAGATAGCATTTCCCTTCGCATCTATTACAATGTATTTATCTTGTCCCCGTTACGATATTTCTATGTATTAATACAAACAAATTTCTCTTGCTTCTTTGAAATATGGAAAAGGAAGTGACGGATTTGTTATGAACAATGGTTCCTTTTATTAAAAACTAGTTCGGTGGAGTTAAAGTTGAAGTTATGGGGAATATAGTCTCTTCAAGTTAGATATATAGGTAAAATTATATGTAAATTTTGTATAATTTATTAATTAGAATAAACAATAATATTGTAGTCCCCTCAATCAATTATCAGAATTCAAATCATTCTTCTTCATTCATATTACTGCTTCCGTCATTGATTTCCATACTCACAATTTGTGAGCAGTATGTAAAATATCAAGGTATACATAAAGTCAGAATTCAGTGAAAATATAATAAACCAACCACTTATAGAAGAAGCATAAGAGAGGGATATGCTAAATTATACTTTCATGGCGGATGAAAAGGGGAGTAGATCCGGTGAGTAACCTGTGGTGCTATAACTTCATGCATAATCTAATAAGAATTCGTCATATCAGCAACTCATTCTATTTTCTCGAAAAATCGGGGTCGTTTGGATGGATCAATCTATAAATGAGTCAATTTGATCAATTGTCTCGTTTTATAAACGAGAAAATTAAAACGAGTCAATTCGAATTACCTGCCCCCACCCCAGGTAATTGAAATTGACTCAAAATGGATCAATTCAAAATACCTCAGGCAGATTGACCCATCCAAATTTTTTGCTGGCAAACGAGGCAATTTGGTACAATTGTCTCCAAACGAGACAATTATTGCAAATTGATCCGTTACAATTCCTCATCCAAACGACCCTTTTCATTCCCTTAATCTTTAACGGACGATTTCTTACTCGTTTTAACTCGGAATTTAATTTTGTTTGCGCAGTTAGATCATATTAATTGTGCTCTTCAAACGGATATTCCCTTTGATATTTTTTGGAATAAAAATAATTTGTCAGTTATTACCAGTCTATACCATATGGTGGTATTGAATGGTATTAAATAAGAGCATACCATATGGTATGAAAAACACCACCTCATACCAGGGTGGTATAATATGGTATGAAGTTGGTAATAAGAGGTATGAAATTTTTTCACCCAAAAAAATTTCAAATCTAATAGATCATATGATTAAATCGTTCCTTCTGTACAAAAATTTTCGAAAACGACTACAAAACGATGGAGATACCATATGATATGGAGTTGGTAACAAGAGGTATGAAAAAAAAATTCTAAAAAAATATTGAAAATTGATATCATTTTGTAGTGTACAACAAACTCGTTCCATATGTGCAAAAAAAAATTCAAATCCGAGTTAGAATGAAAAAGATATGATCCAATCAAGAAAACTGGGGAAAATAAATTCCTTTAATTCTCCACTATTAGATCTGTAGCCGGTTAAAAAAAGAGTTTAGATTTGATTACTCATAGTTATGGACACTAAAATTATACACCCTATCTTGAGCTAGGCATTGTAGAATATCTGAGTAACAAACAACTTTCAATTGATTTACAACAATTAGCATTTGTACAAACGTTCCACATGACAGCTTGCTTTCTTTAAAGCATTCCTTCTATGAATTTTGGCCTCGTCGTTAGGGATGGCAACAAAACCCAAACCCACGGGTACACCTGACCCAACTCGGTCAATCCGGGTAAAATCCGTGTTGACGGGTTTTGGGCCGGGTTTGGGTTTAAACCCGTTCACTATTCACCGGGTTGGGTTGAGTTTGGGTTAGGTAAACCCGCCCCATGGGTACCCGTCCACACCCATACAATTAATTTTTTCGGTATATTTAATATCCTAAACAACTAATCTTATTTATGTTTGTGGAGACATGTCTAATTTTTTCTTTCTAATAATTGTGTAGAATGAAGTTTATGTTATCGAGTGGAGAGTGAAGAAACTTAATTGACAAGGAGGAAGAAGCTTTTAATTAATCATGTTATTTATGGATAATTTGTGATTTGCTTCAATTTTCTTGAGTTTTCTAGATTGGTGTTGAACAATTTGTATAATTAATTTGTAATTTGCTTGAATTTTCTAGAATGGTGTTTTATATATGCATAATTTGTATTGAGATTGATATTTGACTTTAATTTTGATAGGAACTTGTTATTGTAAATTTCTTACGACAAAAACCCGTGGGTACCCATGAACCCGCGGATACCATGCGGGTTGGGTTGGGTTTGAGTTTTTCAAACCCAATGAATTTTACCCGTATTTTTTTCCCAGATAAATCCATAGATTTGGGTTTGGGTTTGGCAAACCTCGACCCAACCCGACCTATTGCCATCCCTACTCGCCGTTTTTCGTCCAAACTGATCTATTCGTAAATGAGGATAAGGAGATGATAAACTAATTAGTACTTGTCCCTGTCAGCGGTCACTTCAGGGACTGTACGTTCTCCCTTTGTCCACGAGAATAGATACAATGTTTTCGACGCTCTAGTACGTGTCGGTATAGATGTGCCGACGGCTTTCTCACTAGACGGGATGGTTAAACACTTAAACTTACATCTAAAATTATTAATCATGGACAATTTTAATGGTTCATGCAAGCGTATGTTAATTATATAGGTAATGAATTAAATAGAGAACGAAGCATGATACTATACACTAACCTCTAATAAGTGAATTTTAATTTTTAATTTTTTTAACTCAAATCATGAGGTTCGTTTAATCTTAAAATGATAATAAATTGTTCTGATTGGTCAAAATATATCAAAATACAAATAATAGAGGTGAATACGGGTGTATAGCATAAGCTCAGGCGTACGCTAGACTTTGCCCAATTTTAATATGTATTTTACCTAGAGCTGGCAATTATGTATCCAATTCATCTACTTAAACTTTACCAAACCCAATCCATTTAATCCAAATCCAATTCAATTGGTAGACTCATAAATTCGAGTAGTGGATATTTGGCAAATTAAACTATAATAGGTATATTCATTACATTTTGATACCTAAATTTTTAATTTTTAACAAAAAAATATCATTTGGAAAATTATGTTTTGACACCTAAAGTTTTTTATTATGACAATTTAATATCTAAAATTTTCAAAATTAACTGAATGTTTGAATCCCACTTAGATGTAAGGAATATAAATTGTGTTTGTATTGATGTATAGAAGGGGTATTTTTATTATTTATATTGTTTGTCTGAACTAAATATTGCACGAATAAAATATTAAACCTAATACGCCCTCCCGCAAGATGGAGGCTGCCTAAGATGACCTAATCTTGAAGCGTAACAAGTCAAACAGAGTAGCTGGTAACGGTTTGGTTAGTGCATCAGCAAGTTGCGAGAAAAAACTAACACATTGTTAGTTTTACACATGTGAAATGTGTATAAAGATTGTGGACTCTCTCTTAAGGGCATGCCCCTTGGGGTGACCAACTTTTGTAGAAGGGGGAGGACCTAATGCACCACCACACACTCACGATCGAGCTAGTGGGTGGGTGGGTCTGATTCATAGTATAATTTTGTGGAGAAATTCTGAAATTATTTATTTATTAACTAATTAATTATTACTTAATTATCATGTATCCTTAACTTATACGAAGATAATTAACTCAATGAAATATTTGAGAGATAATTCCTGGCCAAATTATCTTACCGATGCGATTTAATTAAGGAAGTAATTATCTTCCTAATTAATCTGATTTATTCTCCAATTAAGAGGGTATATTCTTAGGGGTCGGCTCCTATAAATAGTCATCTCCCCAACCCCTCTAAACACAACACAAACGAGCAGAAACACGAGCCAGAGAGTGTTAAGGAGCTGCGGGTTTTCCACAAAACCATCGAGCACCCAAGAGGAGTTGTTTTATCCTAGAGATGACTGGTTGATAGTCTGCCATGCCCAACGAAGGCAGTGTCGCCAGCGTCTTAAAGAAAGCGACCTAGTCCGCGACTCAGCTCCTGCAGATTCGTTAACCGTTCTCTTTGTTGTTCCGTTGCTAACAATTTTAAAACATTGTGATGCTGCTATGGCGACTAAACAGAACGACATGGTCGAATCTGGTGTTGTCGATAGCAATCGACCCTTCCGCTTCGTTGGAGTCAACTCCCGTCGCTGGAGACAGTAGATGGAGTTCTACCTGATGACCTAGAGGTTGGCATACTACCTAACCAAGATGCCGATGAAGCTTCCCGAAGAGGCTACTGATGTAGAGAGGGTTCTTTCCACCAAGACAAGGGAGGTGACTTCTTGTACAAGAACTACATCCTCAACGACCAAACAGACGATCTCTACGACTACTATGCAGACAAGAGCAAAACTGGAATGATGGTCTAGGATGCGCTCCAAAAGAAGTACGACACAGAGGAGGCTGGAGCCAAGAAGTATGTTGTCAGCTACCTGCGCTACCTAATGGTGGAGGACAAGTCCATCGAAGTTCAATCACAGGAACTTCAGAAAATAGCTCATGAGATCGTTTATGAAGGTATGCCTCTGGACGATCAGTCTCAAGTTGCTTGCATTATTGATAAGTTGTATCCTTCGTGGAAAGATTTTAAGAATATGTTTAGACATTAAACTAAATAATTTTCACTTGATAATTTGATTACTCTCATAAGTATAGAAGAAGATTCCCGCAAACAGGATATGAAAGAAGAGGTGATGGTCGTTAATGCTAAAGGACCACCCCTAGAGCTCTGAAACTTATCCAGAAAGGTTTCAAGAGTCCGAACCAGAAGATGTGCCACAACCAGAATGGTGTCCCTCGGGGCTACCAAAGGGTCATGGTCAAGTCCTCTCACAATGACA